TGGCCCGCGCCTTCGCCTGGTGCTGCCGCTCCGCCGCTCCCGAGGCCGCCCGCCCCATCGACATCCGTCGTTCCACCGCCGCCCGCTGCTGCTACCACCGCCGGACCGTCGTCGCCGCCGCCGCCGCCGCCTTCGGGGCCCGCGTTGTGGCCCGCGCCTTCGCCTGGTGCTGCCGCTCCGCCGCTCCCGAGGCCGCCCGCGCCATCGACATCCGTCGCTCCATCGCCGCCCGCTGCTGCTGCCTCCGCCGGACCGTCGCCGTCGCCGTCGCTCCCGGACTGGTCGTCCTCATCCATTGAGGCTGAGCAGTCCCCGCCGCAACCGCACCAAGACCGGCGGACCACACAGTCGGCGACCACACCGGGGTATGCACCTCTCACGCCCCATGCTCTGCTCGGCGAGGGGGGAGATCCGCGGATCCGAGGACGCACGAGAGCGGANTGCTGCCTCCGCCGGACCGTCGCCGTCGCCGTCGCTCCCGGACTGGTCGTCCTCATCCATTGAGGCTGAGCAGTCCCCGCCGCAACCGCACCAAGACCGGCGGACCACACAGTCGGCGACCGCACCGGGGTACGCACCTCTCACGCCCCATGCTTCGAGACTGCTCGGCGAGGGGGGAGATCCGCGGATCCGAGGACGCACGAGAGCGGAAGCGCGCACCATCGCCCAGCAACAGCTTTCTGCCCTATCGGTGGACCGGCAGTTGCCATCACTGCAGGACGATGCCGTCACCACACCTCTGCCTCCGACCGAGATCACCATGGGGATGCTGGCTCAAGCAAACGAAGACGTCCTCCTCTCCATGCTGAATGCTCGGCGAGTCATGAACGGCAAGACCATGCTCCGGCCAGGATTGGAAGGGGGTGGCGAGAAGGGGGGCGGAGGCGAGCAGCTCGCGAGGAGTGAGGGGGTGGGNACCTCTGCCTCCGACCGAGATCACCATGGGGATGCTGGCTCAAGCAAACGAAGACGTCCTCCTCTCCATGCTGAATGCTCGGCGAGTCATGAACGGCAAGACAATGCTCCGGCCAGGATTGGAGGGGGGTGGCGAGAAGGGGGGCGGAGGCGAGCAGCTCGCGAGGAGTGAGGGGGTGGGAGAGAGCACGGGAAAGCTTCCGGAGGTGGACACCGGCGAGGAGGGACGCATGGGGAATGGTTGGTCGATCGGTCCGTCTGAGCGGGGCGTTCCGCTCGGACTTGTGGCGCGTCTTGCGACGCGCGACGACCTCGACTCAGCTGTGCGCGAGATGGAGCCGCCTCTCTTGCGACTCGACATGCCGCGCTGCCACGCCAAGGACCTCCGAGTACCCCAGACTTTCAAAGAGGCAAAGCAGTGCGAGCACAGCGAGCAGTTCATGGATGCGGCCAAGCGTGAGGTGTTTGGATTGCTAGAAGGAGACGCGTTTAAGTTTGTTGGACCGTAAGCAGCGAACAGGCAATTGCATCAAGTCGAAGTTGATTTTTGATTGGAAGGTAGATGCGTTCGGCTTTCCTACGAAGGCCAAGGCTAGGCTTGTTGCGAGAGGAGACATGCAGAAGGAGTACATTGACTTTGTGATTTTTATGCACCTACTGTAGCTTCAGCTAGCGTCCGTATGTTGGCAGCTTTGGCGTGTGAGCTCGACTTGGAGTTGTGTCACTTCGATATCGACCAGGCTTTTGTGAGGGCCCCTCTTAAGGAAGATATTTTCATGCGGCTGCCGGAAGGATGTGGTGCGTTGTCGGGGAAGATAGTTCAGTTGAACAAGAGCCTTAATGGTTTGAGGCAGGCATCTAGAGAGTGGTACGCGTAACTGAAGAAGTGCCTTTTGTCTCTGGGGTTCGAGCAGTGCATGGCTGATTCGTGTGTTGTTTGTTGAGTCGAAAGGGGGGAAGTAGTATTGCTTCTCGTAGTACACGTAGACGAGATTTATGCAGTGGGGACGAAGGAAAGGTGTGATCAATTCGGCAAGGACCTGGGAGAGTACGTGCCAGCAAAGTCTCTAGGGGAGTTGAAGTGGTACTCCGGTTGCTAGAGGGACAGAGAGGCAGGCAGGCTGGCAATTTCACAGCAGACATACACCGAAGAGCTGGGAGAGAGATGTGGTGTCGGGTGGGGGGGGGGG